CTCTTTTCTCCTCCAACTTCAGAATGAGGAGGAGCCTTTCATATCTGTTGATAATAATCTAACAAAAATTGTAATTTTACAAAAAGTTCCTGCACTGAATCCATCAGAATCCGCAGCCGAAGCTCCACTACTGGCTAAGACAAATTATGTAATTAAAGCTACAGGCGTGCAGCTTCGCTTTTATTCATTACTTCACAATTACAGCATCAGTCTCTTAGTCTTTTCCTAGTGGAACACAACCCCCCCAAGTGAGAACCATAAAGGAACAGCCACACGACCAGCAGCCAGGGAGGGGGCGCAGGAGGCTCATGAAATATTCAAACCCTGCATTCTTGCACATTATTTTGCCTAATTAATAATGCATGGCTGCTTTAAATGCTATCGCAGAGGGAAACATTCGGAATTTGAGCGCCTGATGTGACAGAATTTTCATTTTTGGCGGAACCATCGCTTTAATATATGCATATTAATAAATGCATTAGTGCATCCACGAGGACAAAGAACCACATGTTAAATTCACTCATTGTCACAATCCAGCCTGCAGCTCTTGCACACTATCATTTCACAGCTGAAATACAGGCGTATGTTCCCTCTCCCCAGAGGCATGCTGAGTGCTTGTGTGTTTGTTTTCATTTCATCCATGTCTCTGTGTGACTTAATCACCCTTTGCTTTGTTTTATTCCTCTCTTTTCTCCTCCAACTTCAGAATGAGGAGGAGCCTTTCATATCTGTTGATAATAATCTAACAAAAATTGTAATTTTACAAAAAGTTCCTGCACTGAATCCATCAGAATCCGCAGCCGAAGCTCCACTACTGGCTAAGACAAATTATGCAATTAAAGCTACAGGCGTGCAGCTTCGCTTTTATTCATTACTTCACAATTACAGCATCAGTCTCTTAGTCTTTTCCTAGTGGAACACAACCCCCCCAAGTGAGAACCATAAAGGAACAGCCACACGACCAGCAGCCAGGGAAGGGGGCGCAGGAGGCTCATGAAATATTCAAACCCTGCATTCTTGCACATTATTTTGCCTAATTAATAATGCATGGCTGCTTTAAATGCTATCGCAGAGGGAAACATTCGATAACTTTTGTACAGGCGTGTCAGAATCCGTTTCGTCTGCAATAAGCGGTGAATTAAATTGCAGGGGAGAGCCAACAGATGGTGGGATAGCGGAGGGGAAGTGAGATCAGCTCCTGCAGGTATACAGAGGTGTGCGGCTTTAAAGAATGGTAAATTATACTGGTCCCTTACGTACGTAGGCCAGTCTCTGTACAGCTGTTGATATTCAGACCAGTGCTAAGCTTAGACTCGAGAGTTTTGCTCATGGATACCATGTAACATTAAATAGCTATAGGACTCAGAAGGATAGCCGGATAGTTGATGTACTGTCCGGCTGACATTATCAAAGCATAGTTTATTTATAGCGATGGTGAGCGTGAGATAGGTTCCTGAAATATAGCTTGAATTATTTTGAAAATTTTTTGTTTTGCCATTATTTGATTTTAAGGTCATGGTCTCTTCTGAATGATCCATTTCATTGGAAGCTGCTCAGTATTTGAGAGTTTGAAAATGGTTTCTTCAAGTCTTACCAATCAAAAGGGTGGTACAACTGTTTTTGTATTTTTTTTTTTAACTCTGATGAACAAATCTTTGTCAGTGTTATTCTCTTCCTGTCATGAAATAATGATCTGGTTATTGCTAAAGAAATAGTATGGTCTTCTGTGCTTCAGAGGTCCTCAGCTACCTGCATTAAAAGAATATTTCACCCAGAAAAATTAAAATGTGCTGAAAATGTACTCTCAGGCCATCCAATATGTAGATGAGTTTATTTCTTCATCAGAACAAATTTGGAGAAATTTAGCATTTTCATTTTACACTTGCTCACCAATGGAACCTCTGCAGTGAATGGGTGCCATCAGAATGAGAGTCTAAACAGCTGATACATACATTAAAACAATCCACAACACAACTGCTGTCCATCAATTAATGTCTTGAAGCAAAAATCTGCATGTTTGTAAGAAACAAATCTTTCATTAAGATATTTTAACTTAAAACCATTTCTAAAATATGAGTCCATAATCATAATGACTTCACAAAATTTTCATTAAAACCCACCAGGATATTTGTTTCGAACTCTTTTGGGCTGTTTCCACTTGTAAGCAGTGCTTGATCTGTGCATATATCTCTCCTGATTGAGACGAGATGATTTTTTAATAGAAAGCAATATTATGAATCGAGGACTCTTATTTTAGCTGGAAGCAATGGTTTGAAGGTAAAAATAATGGATTTGTTTATTACAAACATGCCGCTTTTCGATTCACAAGACGTTAATTGATAAACTGGAGTCGCGTGGATTAATTGTGGGTTACTGTGATGTTTTTATCAGCTGTTTGGACTCTCATTCTGACGGCACCCATTCACTGCAGAGGATCCTTTGGTGAGCAAGTGATGTAATCTCAATTTCTCCAAATCTGTTCTGATGAAGAAACAAACTCATCTAGGTCTTGGACGGCCTGAGGGTGAGTATATTTTCAACAAATTTTCATTTTTGGAAGAATTGTATCTTTAATTAATCAGGAAGGAAATTGCAGTGTTATTTTGCAGTGCAGTTTTCTGTGGTGCACACAGGTATTGTAATTGCAGCAAATTCGTTGTTTTTTTTCTTTCTTTTTTCAGATGAACATAATTGGATTTGAGTGGCCCGTGTTTTTGCCCTCCAAGTGACACTATTGTGCTCAGTTGATGCTTTTGGCCTATTTTTAGTCCTGGAAGATGGCGTAAACACACACAATACCAGAGAGGGAAGTAATGATGGATGTGTTGTGCTGATATGTGTCCAGTTCAGTAGACTGAAACTGGACATGGCTGGAGTCGCTCACACTTTTCTCAGGAGAACAAAATGCTCAATGATGTGTGTATTCACAAACACAGGAACACAATAGGACGACACCAAATATTCATTTTTCTTTCGGTCTTTACTTATTATTGTTTGGTTGCAAGTAAAATTCTGCATGCTAAACTAACACATATGAATCATAAATCAGAGTTTGCTGTTGCCCTCTGGAATATTCAATGAATACAGTACTCTTTGGGGTGTCAAGACATGTTTTTTACAACATGGCAGAAAAGCAAGTAAATAATCTCGTTCTATTTACTCATTATTTATTATTATTATTATTATATTGGCTGCGTTCATCAAACTTATAAATAATTCAGGTAAAAGGGCTAAATGTTAAAAAAATATATGAGAAATATAATTGTATCATTATCAAACTAATCCCTAGTTATCTATCCCAATTGCAAATATAACGGCTGCCTTGTTACTTGCAACCCTATTTTATTTTATGCTATTTTTACTGCAAGAAAACTGCTAAATATTAAATAGGATTTTTTTAAAGTGCTTAGACATTTTGGAAACGGGAATGAAAAATTACGCAACCCATTTAAGCATGAATAAAATATATAATATTTTGTTTTATCTCAAGGTGACCAATAGATAAAACATTTTCTGAAAGTTAAGCACCTTCACAGCCTTCAATGAAAAAAAATAAATAAATAAATAAATAAAATGTTTCCTTTTTGTTGTTGTTGAGGTCCCATCGTGTTTTCCTCTGTATTTTTGTTTGTTTGCATTTCTCAAACTTTTTATGGAACTTAGCACGTCTTTGGAAGTCTCACACTCTTGTTTGTGTTTGTTTCGGTAACGTTATAATTATACCCTCCCTTATTGCCCTTTTCGGCTTCTTGGTTTCTTTTTTTTTTGGCTGCTGTTTGATTGAAAACACAGCACAGAGATTACAGTTTGTATCTTGCCTGAGTTTACTTTACAAATCAAACCTCCTGCTTGATGGTGCAGCTGAGGTTGCTAGGCAACTGTGAGAACCGGGTGACAGCTTTTAAAGTCTCTCAACATTCCAACTCAAAATTCCAAATAGCTCCGCAGGATTATCTCAAAAACATCAAAGAATTATTAACACCACACACCTATTAAACAACTTCAAATGAGACAACATATTCAAAATCTCACTTGATTTTTTGATCTCACCCTCTTTGAGGCTGGTTCTTTTTTTTAACCATTCTTCCCAAACTTCAAAGCATTTGATATGTGTGGCCTAGCACAGAAAAAAAAAAACGTTCTTAATTTTTGATTTTTAAAAACGTATGTTGTTTTTTGCTTAAAAATTTTCTACTAGAGAAATAAAACCATACCAATGGGATATTGAACTCACTCACTTATTTAAAAAGTTAAATATTAATATGAATATTAACTAATTAAATTGGAACAATGACATGTAACCTTCAATTTTTTCTTTATTAAATCATTGGCATAGTCTGCAGTGCATGATTATTAGACATAATGCAGTAATAGTGATTCAGTGCTGTCTGAGTTTGACTGAGATGCAGGCCTGTAATTAAAATTAGCTGTGTGGTTTTTCTTTTTTTCAGGGCGAATGCTCATTTTTGATTGTAGAAGGCTTATTAAAGCTCTTAAAATGATGAGAACATTGAGTGCTTTTTCTTTATTTTTGTTGTAAATATTGTTGTATAATTTTATTTTATAATTTATTGTTAGCAACAAAATAGACAGTGGCAGATCTATTAGGCTGCATTTACACTACGAGCTTAATGATCCGATATTTGTACTTTTTTTGTTTGCTGGTTTTGTCCTGCCAGTTAGGATATAATTATCCGTGTTTGAATTAATACACGGTTTTGGACATTTTGACAATTCAGCCTTTATTCAGATTAGTTTCTCTACTTGAAATGAAATGAAATAACAATAAAATATCAATAAATGAACAATATCAATAACAAGAAAATAACAATAATGAATGAATGAATTTAAGTATTTGAAGTACCAGCATTTTTCATATTCCTAATATGTTTTATATGTTTTAAAACAAATTGTTTCATTTTAAATAGAAGCCGTTTGAATAGTGGTAATGTTGACCAAAGATCTGAAGTTTTCTCTATTCTGTGCTGCTTTACATTTAGGCTGGAAAAGGAAAAGTCCCAGGCTCATGTTCAGGCCCAGGCAGAAGCTCAAACCCAGGTAAAGGACGAGGTGAGCAGGATCCTTGCATTAGAGAAAGAGCAGAGCATCCAGAAAGCCATACTGAGAGAAAGAGTCACTGCTGAGGATGAAAGACTGCAAGCTCAGATATATGTGAGTAAATTCTCAAACACAGAACTGCATCGCTCTGTCTGTGTTGTAAACAGCTAAGCACTTAGGCTTTGTGCACATTGCGCATAAATCTGATTTCCAGATCTTTAGGACTGTCCCACAAGTGATGAAATCTGATCTCTTTGTTCAGACAGTGATGTCAGTATCCGGTCCATCTACATTGGTTGCTATAATGATGACATAAGTGCCAAGAGACATAAGAGAGTAACTGTCATAGTGGAAAGAAAGAACGGAAAGCTCTATGAATGATTAAAAAAGTACTTGGAATGACTGCATTTCATGTACATTTATTGTATCCAAAGTGACTTAAATTGAACTCAAACTATATATTAGCTATGATTTTGTTTGTTTTTTTTAATTTAGGCATTCCCTCGGAATCAAACCCATGCCCTTGCTACCACTATGCTATACTGTTTGTGCTACAGGAAGACAATTTCATATAGTTTTTTTGCTGTTCAGTCCACAAAAGACTTAACAGATTTGAGTCGGTTATGCCAAAAAAAATCACATTTTTGCTTCCTGTCTGAACAAAACTTTGGAGCAATTTTCCTTTGAGGATAGACCTCTGCTCTTTAAATAATGCTGCCTCGCAGGAAGTCATTTAATGTAAATTTAGCTTGGCACTGATTCCCATCCTGGCACTGAGACTGATGTGTTTTTTGAGCATGTTTGCTTTATTTAACACTGCATTGAAAATATAGCAGCCTCTAGAAAGTTACATCACATCAATACAGTATGGATGACATGATTTTTAAGGCCTCCCAATATATTTCTGGTACTATTGTAATATTATAATAAAATAAAGTGATTATAAATATTACAAATAACCAATAATTCCAGAAGTTCCAATAACTGAATATTGTTCAGTGTTTACACTTTTTATTACCATTAAATTTAAAGGACTTTTCAAGTTGATCTTGAATTATTGATTTATTTATTGATTGATTGATTGATAGATTTATCACTCAGAAAAAGCACTTTTTCAGGAATTTCTACCCTTAAAATGTTTTGGAGCGTGACATAATTACAAATATATATTATTATAATATACAAATATATAAATTATAATATACAAATATATATTAATTATAAAAATTCCTATGACTTTTTAAAGATTTTATTCATTTCCATGACTTTTATATGTCCAGGCTTTCCATATGCTAATGATAATGCTGGTTCATAAAAAGGAATGACAGTTATTGAGGAAACAAATATAATGTTAGCTTAGCTTATATTTGTTGAAGCTTATTTTAAAGCTTGTTTTGTCTTATTTCAAATCATAACCCATTTTACCCCAAAATGAAAAGTCTGTGATCATTTATTTATGGAAGAGGGCAACGTGAACATTCAATCAAAACATCTAATTTTGATCACCATCTTTTCTACCTGGGCAGCTGTATTGAGAGGGTTGTGAGTGGATCAGGGTGAAGTGCCAGCGTCTGATTGGCTGGCTGTAAGGACTAATGAGAGATTGTGAGAACTGATTGGATGTGCATGACTGACGGTGATCATGTTTGGGCCTCATTCTACTTATTTATCTCCTTCACACCAATCAAGACATCAACAAACTCACACACATAAAAAATGACTGCGTAAAGACAACAGAGTGTTGCACATGCACTTAGAAAAGTACATGAACATCTTTATTGATAAACTTTACATATTCTTTCCATTCTGTGCTAATCCAAAAGGAATACCAGTGTACACACATCCCAGTGTAAGGCCGTTTTATTTGCAGGCGGCTAAATTGCCCTTGTAAACACATTGTAAGACGAGGGACCCCTCCATTGGTTTTGACAAGGCACAGATTATTTGAGCATGAAGTAAAAAAAGAGGTTCCCCGGAGAACTGGAGCTGTTTACAAACGTATGGTATTGATTACATAGCTCATTTCACACAGTCATCTCTGTAATAGAAAAATGAATCATTTTTGGGATGAGGGTGAGATGTGCTGTAATTCACGGCTGGAAGGAAGGTGTGTGTGTGTGTGTGTGTGTGAGTGAGAGAGAGAATTGGGAAAGCGTCATTGGGAACGGTGGGTAAAAACAATGTAAGGAGGGGGCGGCTTGGGGTGCTTTGTGTGCAGGAATGTTTTTTCATGAGTAGTTGGTGGTGGTCTCATTTCAGCATTTGCTCTTTGAAAGATTTTAGACCACATCTACGATTTTAAACAGACCAGCTGTAGCTGAAAAAAACACAAATATGGATCCCAGCAGCCCAAAGAAACAATCCATTCTAATTTAATCCCTACCCATTGCAATACAGTATAATACACACAAAATCGCCAGCAGTTCTGACTCAGACCAATAATGAAGCATGCTTGAGTAACAAATTGCTGGTTTATGAGTGTTACTCAATATTATGGGTTTATCAAGTCAGAGCTCTTTCTGCTGTGTCCTTCAGCTCATTGTGGTTACTTTTGTAGGTAGTTTTGTTTAATACACTTCAATTAGATATCCAGAAGTAGAACTGTAAATTATGTTTAGTTTTCTGTCTATCTATCTATCTATCTATCTATCTATCTCACATATAGATTACATATTTCATTGTGCACATGCATTTTCATTTTCATGCATTTTTTACATTTCGATTACCTTTGTCATCATCTAAGTTCAAATAAATAATATGGATCAATGAGGAGAACTAGACATGTCTTGAGATGTGTCTTTTCCTTTCAGAAATAAACACACACACACACACAGGAAAATGAGTTGGGACAGGTTCTTGTCCTTTTCTCTTAACGGAAAATTTTCACTCACGGACATCATCACACACATTTCATTCCTCTCAATTTTGAGTTCTTCTTTGAGTGGAGTTTCTTTAATAGAATTTGAAGGGTTATCGCCAGATTCATGCCACTTTTTCTCATGTAATCATCTGCTCTGACAGTGCTATCATAAATCTCTTTTCTTTTTATTTCTTTTTTCTCCTTGAAATTATTATTTTTTTCCTTGTGAAAGGCTGGAGACTGACCTGCCACACTTTCATTGTAATCGCACGGTTTTCAACTACAAATGGGACTTTCTAGGGACCTTCACAGTTGTTGTTTTTCACATCCAGCAATTTTTTATTTTTATTTTAAGCTATGGCTAAATGTCTTTTTGCTTCGCAGCATGTGCAGGTCAAACATTTTTGTATGTAAATAACCTCATTGCTGAATTAAAAATTGATTTACTCATCTCCAAAGTGAGAATATGTTTAATAAACATGACACGTGCACAAGATATAGTGAGTTAATCAATACATTATTCTTTTATCACAAAGTAATGTTGAACCTGTTAGTAATTGGAAATTGAAATGAGTTTAAATTGCCTACAAAACATCAATAAGTGTTTGAAAGTCCTTGCTGGGTTAGTACATGGTTCTGCTGCTCTCAGCACACTTTGAATAGATGGACCTTTCAAAGATGATTTGTTAAGTCCTTTGTCCTAGCTCCTTCCTCTGAGCGCTTTTCTGCCTGACTGCAAGGTGTTCAATCATTAAACATCAATCAGGCTTTTGACATGTGTTCTTACTGCGAGTAAGAGCCGCAGTGCCACACTTCAGGGTTTCTGCAGTTTGCTTTACAAATGCATTAGCCAGGTGGTGTATACGCTCACTCATGGGACATTTACACGGGCCAGTGGGTTCTTACGGTATTAGTCGGGTTCTCTCTTGGGTTCGAGCGGTCTAAGCAAAGGCAGGTCATTTGGACAGCAGGATCTCCTCGACTTTGTCTTTAGATCTCTGATGGGCCCTAAACATCTTGATGGTTTGCTTTTGGATCTTAATAGTAACTTGTATTTAGAAGTGGAGAAAGAAAAAAACCCCGTGTATGTCTGTCTTTATGTATGTATGTATTTATGTCTTTATTAGCTGTTTGCATTGAAATTACAGTATTTTGATTATATTTTGTTATATAATTAAATAATTTACATATACACTACCATTCAAAAGTTTGGGGTCATTAAGATTTTTTTGTAATGTTTTTGATAGTAGAGTGTCATAAAATTTCACAATATTACTGTTTTTAATTTAAAATAACTGCTGCGTAATATTGTTGTGGAAACAATTAGAAAGTTTAAAAGAACAGCAATTATTTGAAATAGATATTTTTTGTAACATTATAAAATGTATTTATTGTCACTTTTGATTAAATTCATGTGTCCTTGCTGAATAAAAATATTTATTTATTTTTAAAAAGAAAAATCTTAGTGATCCCAAATTTTGTACAGTAGTGTATATTTTAAGTTTTTATTATTATTATTATTATTATTATTGTAAAAACTGCTATGGAGGGACTTCAGGGAACATTTTTGAGTGAAGATGCAAATGAAGTTCAGGATTCTTTGATGAATAGAAAGTAAAAAAAGAAGACTATTAAGATGAGCATCTTATTTTTCCTCTCCTCGTTCAAGGAGACATCGATCCCACTCTCATCAGAATTCACACTGTGCTCTGGTCTTCAGACACAGTTTGTCACGTACAATAGCAGTGCTGAGTGCTAGAGCCGGCTGCATTCTCCGGTCTTCGCACGCCCAAATTAGCCTCTCCAATTATCTCGCCCAAGCCAAGAGCTCTGAGGTTGCTGTTCCGATGGCTGTCCTTTTTCTCGAACAGAGCGCTGACTCTACCTGAAACCATAAATAATTTTCCTCCAAGCCCACCAGCTTAGTAGCAAATCTCTGTTTTCTACAGTCGTAAGACCCTGAGTTTTGCTAGCTTTTGAAAGCGCTTGCAATGTACACTTCTGTGGTAAGCCATCTTGCTTTGCGGTTCTGGATTTTTGTTCGTCAGCTTGTTTGGTGGACACAAGAATGGATGTTATTTGACACATATAATCGCTTGTATTTCCTCAAACTTTCTGCCATAAATTCCAACTAGAGTGTCATTTTCCCAATAGACCTGTTGAGTATATTGAACTTGCTCATTTTAGATGCATTGCATTGACATTTCATGATTTCTGCACTGTGATGAGAAGTTCTCGTGTATCTCTTTGACCA